TATATATATAAAGAAATACATATTTGGTCTTTGTCCCTGGTTCCTGGCACAAAGCACATAAAATTTTTAGAATTTCTGAGTGATACAGGTGAAAGAAGCATCTTTTGTTATTCATTTCAAATCCTATTCAGCCGTATCTCAGTTTATTCTAATGAGGTGACTTTTAGAGGAGCTGGTTGTCAAAGGAACCTACTATGTAATTAGAGAGTAGGAACTTTCAGTACCCCCATCCCCAACTCTGGAGAGCAGCTTAAGATGGAGTTGAATCACCAATGACTAAAATGATTTATTCAACCATGTCTACGTAATGGAATTTCCATAAAAACCCTAAACGACAGCATTCAGAGAGCTTTCAGGTTGGTGAACACATCAAGGTGCCTGTTCATGTGTGAGTGCTGCACACAGAGAGGGCATGTAAGCTGAAGGCCCCTTCCCCAGACCCTGCCCTATGCATCTCTTCCATTTGATTGTTCCTGAGTGGTATCCTTTAGAATGAACTGGTAATACTGTTTCCGTAAGTTCTATGAATCATTATAGCAAATTATTAGACCTCAGAAAGGGGTTGTGGGGACCCCTAATTTATAGTCAACTGATCAGAATTATACGTGACAGGCAACTTGGGACTTGCAACTGGAATCTGAGTTAGGGAGGCAGTCTTTTGGGACTTCTTGGGGAATGCCCTAACTCTAATTAGTGTGAGAATGTAATCTTATCCACTGAGAAGTGGGAGAATTGCTTGATGTGGAAGAACCCATACAACTGGTGTCAGAACTGTTGTGAGTAGAAAAACAATGTTTTCTTTAGTAATATTTTGCAATACTACAGTACAATTTCACAGTCAGGATAATGACACTGATATAATCCATCAGATTTATTCAGATTTCCCCAGTGTTACTTTTGTCTATTTGTGTGTATTAAGTTCTATATAATTAACTGCATAAGTTCATATATCCACCAAGACAGCGAACATAATGAACAGCTCCAATACCACGATAGTACCTCTTGTGCTTTTATAACCATAACCATACTAACCTTCCTCCTGTCCCTTCTCCTACTCAGTAACCCTGGCAACCACTAATCTGTCCTCTACTTGTAAAATTTTGACATTTTGGGGCACCTGGGTGGCTCAGTAGGTTACATGACTGACTCCTGATTTCAGCTCAGGTCATGATCTCCCAGTCATGGGATCAAGTCCTGCACTGGGCTCCACACTGAGGGTACAGCCTGTTTGGGATTCTCTCTCCCTCTCTCTCTCTCTGCCCCTACCCTGCTCACACATTCTCTCTCTCTCTCCCTCTCTCTCTCTCAAAATAAATAAACTTAAAAAAATAATAATAGGGGTGCTTAGGTGGCTCAGCCGGTTAAGTGTCCAGCTCTTGATCTCAGCTCAGGTCATGATCTCATGGTTCATGGGATCAAGCTCCACGTTGGGCTCTGTGCTGACAGTGTGGAGCCTGCTTGAGATTCTCCCTTTTCCCTCTCTCTGCCCCTCCCCTACTTGCTCTGTCTCTCAAAATAAATTAAAAAATTAAAAAAATAATAAAAATAAAAAATAAAAATTTGACATTTCAAAAATGTTATATAAATGTTATATAGTAACATACTGTATATAATCTTTTGAAATTGGCTTTTTTCACGTAGCATAATTTCCTGGAGATTCATTATTCATGCAGAAAATGTTTAATATTATAACAGGAAAAGAGACCAAGTTAACATTTTGTCCTACCCTGTTCAACAAGCAGTTCTGATTTTTCCTGATTGAGAAGTCTTGATTCTTTATTTAACTTTTCCAGTTCACGCTGACAGTCTATCAGTCTCCTTTCTTTCTCCCTCACTGTTCTCTGGTGATTGTGATATAAATCATTTAGTTGCTCATCAGTCCCTTGAAAAACCTGTATAGAATCAAAATAAAGAGCTTTAATGAGTAAATATATGAAGTTATCATTCTGAGGTACAAAATATGAACTAAACTTCTTCAATATCCTTTAAAAAATTTTCTTTTAATTTTGGGGGAGGGGAGAGAGTACGCACAAGCCGGGGAGCAGCAGAGAGAGAGGGAGACACAGAAACAAAAGCAGGCTCTCGGCTCTGAGGTGTCAGCACAGCGCCCGATGTGGGGCTCGAACTCATGAACCGCAAGATTATGACCTGAGCCAAAGTTGGATGCTTAACAGACTGAGCCACCCAGGCACCTGCTCAATGTCCTTCTTTTTAACATATACATGGAAATAACACAAACAACAAGATTTGTGTTTTTTCCGAGATATGACTGAAACAATGGATTCAAATGAGGTTCATTAAATAATCTCAAAATTTTGGAGAACAAAATTCTACCACCACAAACCTTTTCCATCTTCTGTTCCAGTTCACTATTATCTTTTTCCATCTGCTTCTTTCGGCTATCCAAGGCTTTGATTTCATTGTCAAGTCTCATTATTTTAGAAAGATTTTGTTCAATTTCTTTTAGACGATTCTGAAAATAAATAAATACATAAATTTCACTAGTTTATAATGCAAATGAATGAAGTTAAGATGTCCTGGTCTAGATACTTAGTAAAAGTGATCTATCTCATTTAATGCTAGCAAGGCTATAAATTATAGGAGGCACAGAGAAACTGAGAAGCAGAGACATTAAGTAACTTGTCCAACTCCTCACAGCTAGTAAAAAACAAAACAAAACTAATAAACTGCCTTGCCCTCAACATGTCCCAGAGAAGTCACTGGGTAGAGTCACATTATGTAAAGTACATTATAAAAACTTAATCTTTAACAGGCTAATGATTTTATTTATTTATTTATTTATTTATTTATTTATTTATTTAACGTTTATTTATTTTTGAGAGAGAGAGACAGAGCATGAACGGGGGAGGGTCAGAGAGAGGGAGACACAGAATCTGAAACAGGCTCCAGGCTCTGAGCTGTCAGCAGAGCCCGATGCGGGGCTCGAACTCACAGACCGCGAGATCATGACCTGAGCCGAAGTCGGCCGCTTAACCGACTGAGCCACCCAGGCGCCCCAATTTATTTAAAAAATAAACAGAATTAGTGAGTTACCAGTGCATTCTGAATCTGAAGGCCAAACTTACATGGAAAACTATGCTTTGATTCAAAGTCTGTTCAAGCACAGAAAACTGTGAACAAGTTAAGTGTGATAAATGATCTCCTTGGCCTGCTTCCAAGGACAGCTTGTTGCCTAATCTCCTAGGAATAGGTGAAACCAGGCTCTGCTGGGGATATTCTTCTAATGTTTGTCTCTACAAATCCAAGGATGACCTATTCCTCTTCTAAGATATTCTTAGAACCTAATTTATTAAACTAATGCAACATTAGAGTGCTGAGATATCAACTTGAAGCTTTCACTGTTGCACCTAAACGCACCCTCAACTTTAATATTAGTCATTTAATAAAATTACAGTAGTATCTTATCTTGTGATTTGTAGATTAATGAGTAGCATGTAACCACCATAAAAACAGGAATTTTGTTCACTAATGTATCCCCCCACACAAAATTGATGTTCTCTATGTTAACTAAATGGAAGAATGAGTAATTTTACCAATAATTCATAGCTATCACTGAATGAATGACTATTATATTGAAGACATTGTACAAGATGCTGCTATCCATTCACTCTAACTCTTGTGAGAGTACTTGCTAAGTAGGAGACTTGGAGGACTCCATGTGCACGAAGGCACATACTTAATGATGGGAGGTTAAGACTGGAGGCAGGGTGGGATAATAGTTAACACTGTAGGCTCTGGGTGCTGGAAGAAGGAAAAACTCAACCTTACCTTGTACTACATTCAAAAATTAACCTGAAATGGAACATAAATGTAAGAACTCAAACTACAAAACTTCAAGAAGAAAACACTGTAGAAAATCCGTGCAATTTGGGGTCAAAGATTTCCTAAACAGGAAACAAAAAAAAACTGTAAGAAAAAACTTGATAAACTGAACTTCATCAAAATCAAAAACTGCTGTCCTTGGAAAGCAGTTAATAAAATATTTGCAAAACACATGTATGATAAGGGCTTGCATCCAGAATAAAAAGAACTCTCACAGCCAAGTAAGACAAAAATCCCATTCAAAATAGGCAAAATATCTGAATAGACACTTGTCCAAAGATGCTCAGATGGCAAATAAACATTTAAAAGGACACTTAACATCCATAAACATTAGAAAAATGCAAAATAAAACCATAATGAAAAAAAAAAACACCACTCAAGATACTAGCATTCATCTATTATAAAGGCTAAAATAAAAAAGACTGACCTATCTAAATTACACTTCAATAAACCCAACTTAAAACAAAAAGTATGGGCTTAGGATTCAGAGAGGTTTGGACTCTAACCCTGGTTCCACACCATGGTTGCAATGTGAACACCTGTGCCACAGTTTTCTTGCCTATAAAACCTCACAGGATTACTATGGAGTTCACATAATGCATTTTAAAACACCCTGTTCAGTGACTGGCATATAATATACCTTCAATGAATGGACCATTCATTATCACTTATGAAAAAAATTTTGCGTTCAGAAAATATCTTTTGAGCAGCAACAAAAAGAACAGGATTGATTCTTAAAAGCACTGGATATTAACATCTCAGCTATGGTACTCCACTCAGAAACTTCTCGGCTTCTATTACGGCCTCTTGGTGGCATTATCTGGGTTTGGATCTATTGTGACAACTCTAGGAAGCTTCATTCCTTAAATCCAGCCAGTCCACCAGATCCTGGATATCCCTTCTTTGAAATCTGTAGTTCTTTTATTTTTATTTTATTATTTTTTAATGTGAACAGGGGAAGAACAGAGAGAGAGGGAGACACAGAATCTGAAGCAGGCTCCAGGCTCTGAGCTGTCAGCACAGAACCGCGAGATCATGACCTGAGCTGAAGTTGGATGCTTAACTGACTGAGCCACCCAGGTGCCCCAAGAAATCTGTGTTTTTAAATTCTAATTCCAGGGTAGTTTACAGTGTTGTGACATCTGTGCTTTTGTTCAGTCCTTAGGGTGCAAAATCCCCACTCTATCCCCAGAGCATACCACCTAGTAAAAGAAGCTAAGACAAAGATAAAGACAAAAAATATAGCAGAGTATTTAAAGTTTAGGTGTTAGTGTGAAATGAGACAAAAGAACAAGGCAGTTGGGTCATCAGGTATACTAGAACCATGAACTTCTAGAAGAATAAACAAGCAGGCCAGAAGGTGTTTTTGAACTTGAAAACAAATTTGTCTAGCAATTTCCACAAAAGGCAAGAAAGGAAAGTAGGCCTAAGTGGGCCAAGGTCAGGATAAAATGTGGTGGGATGAGAATACAATAGTTTATAAGAGAATTCCTAAAGTCAGAGGATACCTATAAAAATGAAAAAGCATGAATGCAGGACTGAAATGAAGCTGTCTTCTGGATGGCTCCTAGGAAGGTGATCTGACCCAAAATTTATATTTAATTCCATGAAGGGAAGAAACCCTGGATGTCAGAACAAAAACAAAAAACAAAAAAAAAAACACAAAACACACACAACAACAACAAAACAGCCCCAACTATGGAAATCAACCACTTAAATAATTATTTACTAAATCACCTACTATGTGCCAGGCACTGGACTAGGCTATGAGGATACAGAAAATAAAATTAAACCCATGGAGAACTAGTCAAAGTTAAACACAAATAAAGAAACAATACAGAGGCACCTGGGTAGCTCAGTCAGTTAAGCGCCCAACTTCCCTCAGGTCATGATCTCAGTTCATGGGTTTGAGCCCTGTGTTGGACTCTGCTGACAGCTCGGAGCCTGGAGCCTGCTTCAGATTCTGTGTCTCCCTCTCTGCCCCCCACCCACTCATGCTCTGTCTCTCTCTCAAAAACAAACACCTCACAATTTGCTACAGCCTTAGTCACAATCCTGCACCACTCAATAAACACCAGGTATTGCTTCTTTGCCACCTTGCCATTCTTTCCTATAGGAATGCTCCATTTCAACCATATGGATTTCCTGATAGTGTTCAAAAACACCTTGCGTTTTACTGTCCCTACACCTCTAATTACTTAACCATTTATAGTCAATAAATTAAACCCCCAATTCGGTCCTACATAATCCTCTCTGGCCACCTCAGACAGAAATTCTCTTTCTTATTCCTCAGAGCTCTTACAGTTCTTGTCTTTTTCTGCCTTATGTGTGCTTGTCACCTTTCTAACTAGGCTGCTCCTGAGGAAGACAAAATGTGTTCCAGTATCTTGTGAATTACCACACAGTACCTATACACAATAATCCTCTAACTCTTAAAACATATCCTACTTTATCATTTTTTCTATTAAACTGAATTCTAAACCCATTCATTCTTCATAATCTGACTGTAATTTTCTCATTCATTTTACCCTGGTTTACTTAACCCAGGCTCTCCCTTACAATGATTCTGTTTTGATAAGTTGTAGGTGTAAATATAGACATATAACAATGTGAATATAAATACATTTATATTGTATACACGCAAAAAAAAAAAAGCTGATCATAGGCTTTAAATAGAAGGTCAGGAATGAGTGGGAAGACTACCTCTTACTTATCAACTCATATTTTTCTCTAAGTTTTTTTTTTTTTTTCAACGTTTATTTATTTTTGGGACAGAGAGAGACAGAGCATGAACGGGGGAAGGGCAGAGAGAGAGGGAGACACAGAATCGGAAACAGGCTCCAGGCTCTGAGCCATCAGCCCAGAGCCTGACGCGGGGCTCGAACTCACGGACCGCAAGATCGTGACCTGGCTGAAGTCGGACGCTTAACCGACTGCGCCACCCAGGCGCCCTTCTAAGTTTTTTTTTTTATCATGAGCACATTAATTACTTTAAGAAGAAAAAATAAAATTACAAACATACATAAAATGGCTTCTACTCGGTCAATCTGATTTTTCCCCATTCTTTAAGATCCAGTTCAGCCATACCTCTTCCCTTGAAGGCTTTTTAAGACATTTCTATTCAAGACCATCCCTTTTTTAAAACAGCTTTATTGAGATAAATTCACACGCCGTATGATTCACCTGTATTCGCCATACAATTCAACATTTTTTTAGTATATTCATACAGTTGTGCAACCATTACTGTAATCTGATCTTAGGATATTTCAACTTCCAAAAAAAAGCTTTGTACCAATTTGCAGTCACCGTTCATTCCTCTCGACTGCCTAACCTGGCAATCATTAATCTTTCTGTCTCTATAGATTTGCCTATTTTGGACATTTCAAATAAATAGAAGCATACAATATGAGGCCTTTTGTAATTGGCTTTCACTTAGTGTGTTTGCGACATTCTTACCTGTTGTAGCATGTATCAGAACTTCATTTCTTTCTACAGATGGATAATATTCCAACATAAGGATATGCCACATTTTATTGAGCAGTTAACGGACAACGAAGTTGTTTCCATCTTTAGGCTATTATAAATAATGCTGTTATGAACATCCCTATGCAAGCTTTTGTGTAGATGTATGTTTTAAAATCTCTTGGGTGTAAGACACTTAGGAGTAAAACTGCTGGATCATATGTTAACTCTATGTTTAACATATCAAGGAATTGCTGAACTGTTTTCCAATGTGGCTGCACCATTTTACACTCCCAGCATATATGAGGGTTCCAATTTCTCCATATCCTCATCAATACTATTATATGTCTTTTTAATTTATAGCCATTCTAGGGGGATGTGAAGTGGTCAAACTGTGGTTTTGATTTGTACTTTCCTAATCAGTAATGATGTTAAACATCTTTTCATGTGTTTTTGGACACATACATATCTTCTTTAGAGAAATATCTATTTAGATCCTTGGCACATTTTCTAACTGTGGGGTTTTTTTTTTTTGTTACTGAGTTATAACAGTTCATTATATGTTCCAGAAAAAAAAGTCCCTTTTCAGATATATGACTGTCAAATATTTTCTCCCATTTTGTGGGCTCCTTTTGCTTTCTTGATGATGTAGTTTGAAAAACAAGTATCTTATTTTCTCTTTTAAGTTAAAAAAAAATTTTTTTTTTTTTTCA